TTTTCTCTTGTCTGCCAAGGCTGGACTCAAGAGTGATGGATTCAGGATTTGTTCTTAGGCACTTTGATAGCTGTTGGAGTGGTGAGAATCAGTGTCAGTTCCCTATCAAAGGCTTCTAGATAGGAGAAAACATATTTAGCCATCATTTTAGAACAATAACGGGTTGCCTCCCTTAGCTACTGGTGGGCAATACAGTATTGCAGACCAAGGTTTGAAGTCTTGCATCTGAGCAGAACTTTTTGATTAGAAACAAAATCACCAATGAGAAATAATTGTCTAAATAACTTGTTTTTTTTTGTTGTTTTTTTTTTTTTTTTTTTTGGTCTTTTTGAGACAGGGTCTCCCTGTAGCTCGAGCTGTCCTGGAACTCATTATGTAGACCAGGCTGGCCTTGAACTCACAGAGATCCGCCTGCCTCTGCCTCCCAACTGCTGGGACTACATGCGTGCGCCACCATGCCCGGCGACCTAAATAACTTTTTATATGGACTTAAGCCTAATGTCTAGGAAGTCTCTTGAACTCTTAAAGAAATATACCCATCACTTTCCTCTTTGGTTATACTTTCCTTTCGGGTGTTTAAGACCATACAGTTGGCCCAAATAAATCAATTTTATTTTTACACTTTAGGTCGTTTGACGATCTGTTCCTCAGAGGTCACATGGGCTTGGCAGGAGCCCCTGGCTCTTTTCTTTTACCAGATCCATCTATGTGAAAATAAGTCAAAGGTCCTGCTCGATGATGGCTGGATTCACTTGGAAGCATGGCGGAAATGTTTTCTCTGAGTTGACCCTACTCTTTGTAGACTGGACACTGGTTCAAGTCCATCTCATGGGGTCTCCATGTCCTCCCTGAACAAGAGGACAGGTGACTCACTTGCTACTTTTTTAATGTATAAAGTTGTTTAAATTCTTGCAATTCAATTTTATGTATGAATTCTTCCTCTATTGTTCTGCTTGGCTATTTAAACCAGTGTCCATTTATACACTGTCATTGGCATCACTACTGAGGTTAAGAACCTAACCCCTGAGCTTCTAGACCAGAATGTGCATTTTAATTGCATTTTCTATACATAATTTTATATATTTTAAAAATTGGGAAGTATCCTAACTCACCATAATTTTCTCCTGTGAGAAATATATACAGTATATATAGCATAATAAAAATTCAGCACTCAAAATATATATTGTGTGGGTACCTTCAGATTTCATTTTATATTTAATAAGAATATTTACATGAGTTTAGTACATCTTAGTCATTCTTTTTCTTAAAGATGGATAATGCATTAGATAATATTATTATATATCAAAGCATCTTATCGATCAGTATATATCAGAACCACTTCTAGCTCCCCTTTCCTCTTGGGTAAAATTACGAACTGTTTTAGAAAACATGATGATTATTTATTGATTAACAGTTATGCTATTTAATTTATGCCATTAATTTATTTTTACTTCAGGAGCTGTCATTTCAGGATGTGGCAATTGATTTCTCTCCAGAGGAGTATGAATGCCTGGACCCTACTCAGTGGAATTTGTATAGAGATGTGATGTTAGAGAATTACAGAAACTTTGTCTCCCTGGGTGAGGATCCCTTCCCCACTGAATTCTTAACTCACTGCCAACATTTAATTGCCTTTCTTTGTAGAATATCTCAAGATGGCTTATGCTTTGTATCAGTGAGATCCAGATTTCTCCTTTTAAGGAAAAAATAGAAGGGTGGTTGGTATAGCCTAAATAAGTTTTGTTGTAGTTCTTCTCATTTTAATGTCTTTGTTTTGAAAGTATGCATCCTTTATTCTAATGGTAATTTTAGAAATTCTGTGGCATGAGGTATGTAGCATATACTGTAAAGCAAAACATTTTGCCTTTCAACTTTAAATTTTTTGTATTTTTAAGTAGAGCTCAAGATCTGAAAATTACAATTTTTTCTACATGTATTAATATGATTTTCAGGAAATATTTAGAGAAATAATTTTTCTACAATCTTTTATTATATGTCCTCTTTCCTTATAAACACAATACTAGGATAGAAATGTTAATTTCCAGGAGAAAACACAAAGCATCATGTTCCATTTTCCCATAAACAGGACTCACTTTCACGAAGCCATACCTGATCACATTTCTGGAGCAAAGAAAAGAGCCTTGGAATGTAAAAAGACAACCAACAATGGCTGTATACCCAGGTATGTAGGAACGAATGAATCAGGATACAAGTAAGAGGTCCAAAAATCTAACAGAAAGCCAAGCTTTAAAATATGGATTGAGAAGCTGTGTTTCATGGAAATACTCTTTTTTTTGAGTGTCCTTAGTTCTCTTGCTGCCAAGCATCCCTTGTGGATGGTTATCATGCTTCCAAGTCCTCTGAACCTGGTTCTTCTCTTCCAGTCAGCTCTGCATTCATTTAGAGTGACTACCAAAATGTTTCCTTTTGCCTATGAGGATGTACTTCATGACAGAGATTTCATTGCTCTGTACAGCTCAGAACATTTGTACACACTTCTAAAGACTTACCTGTGTATCAAATCATTTTAATACAGGAACATCAGAAATAAATTTCTCTAATTTCATTTATATGTTCATCAATTAAAATTGTCTAATCAGAGCTCTCTATGAATGATTATAATGTATTTTATGATGTTTTTCCAAACTTTGAATGTGAGTGATTTAAAATGCAAGTGCTTTGTGGGTATATAGTCCCAGCTGAGAACTGCACATCTATAAGAATTTTTAAAAATAATTGATCAATATTCCTTCAGGATTTTATGAGTTCAAGATGGATGTTCTTTATCTTATTTTGCAATTCCATTTTCAGTGTTTTCTTTTTCAGTCAGTCTTGTTTCCCACAAATAAGTTGATAATAGGTTAAATGTATTATGATTGGATGGCAGTTTATAATACTAAAGTCTTTAGAAAAGTGTAAGGTAACAAAATATTTTGAGTCTTATGTATATTTCCAATAGAATTTTGTCTTTATTTAGTCGTATAATTATTACTCCCATGTGTCATGTCATACTCAACATTTACTCAACAGGAACAAAACCCTATAAATGTAAAGACTGTAACAAGGCCTTTGTTCGGAACTCTCTCCTCATTCAACACCAGAGAATTCATACCGGAGAAAAACCTTACAAATGCAAAGAATGTGATAAAGCATTTAACTGGTCTTCAAACCTTACCCAACACCAAAAAATTCATACTGGAGAGAAACCCTACAAATGTGAAGAATGTGGACAGGCTTTTAACTGTTCTTCACACCTGTATAATCATCAGAGAATTCACACTGGTGAGAAACCATACAAATGCAAAGAATGTGGTAAAGCATTTAAATGGTCTTCAAGCCTTGCCCAACACCAAAGAATTCATACTGGAGAGAAACCCTACAAATGTGAAGAATGTGGACAGGCTTATAACTCTTCTTCAAACCTGTATAATCATCAGAGAGTTCATACTGGTGAAAAGCTTTACAAATGCAAAGAATGTGGAAAGGCCTTTAACTGTTCTTCATACCTCAATTATCATCAGATACTTCATACTGGAGATAAACCCCACAAATGTGAAGAATGTGGCAAAGCCTTTACCGTGTTCTCTTATCTTAGTAAACACCAAAGAATTCATACTGGAGAAAAACCCTATAAATGCAAAGAATGTGACAAAGCCTTTAATCATTGTCCATCCCTAACTCAACATCAAAGAATTCACACTGGAGAGAAACCCTACAGATGCAAAGAATGTGAAAAAGCTTTTAATAATAGTTCGAGCCTTACTCATCACCAAAGAATTCACACTGGAGAGAAACCCTACAGATGCAAAGAATGTGGTAAGGCTTTTAACTCTTCTTCACACCTGTATAGGCATCAGAGAATTCATACAGAGAATTTACAAATGCAAAGAATGTGGAAAAGCCTTTAACTCTTCTTCACACCTTAATTATCATCAGAGAATTCATACTGGAGAGAAACCCTACAAGTGCGAAGAATGTGGAAAAGCCTTTAGTAATTTTTCAGCCCTTATTCAACATCAAAGAATTCATACTGGAGAGAAACCCTACAAATGTGAAAAATGTGGCAAAGCCTTTAATAATTGTTCAGCTCTTACTCAACACCGAAGAATTCATACTGGTGAGAAACCCTACAGATGCACAGAATGTGGCCAAGGCTTTAACTGTTCTTCAAACCTTAAACAACACCAAAGAGTTCATACTGGAGAGAAATTCTACAAATATGAAGATTATGGAAAAACCTTTAATAATTGTAAAGTCCTTACTCAACAGCAAGGAATTCATACATACTGGAGAGAAACACTATAAATGCAAGAGGGTGACAAAGTGTTTAGCAGTTATTCAACAGTTATGAAACATCAAAAATTAACATAAAAGAGAAACCCTACAAGTTCAAATAATGTAGCACAACCTTTCTTCTTCACACCATGATCAACATCAGAGATTTGTATCAGTGAGAAACCATGCAAGTAGAAATGATGTGGCAAAGATTTAATTGAAGCTTGTTCTTCATTAACCATTAGTGAATTCATATTGGATAAAAACTTTATTCATTTAGTGACTTTAGAATGAACTTTGATGATATCTATGCCTCGGAAGAGCAGAGTAGTTATACTGGAAAACATTGTATAAATGTAAAGAATACAGCAAAGCCTATCCTTATACCTCAGGTCTTAATAGATGTAAAAAAATTTTTGTAGATGAATACTATGAATGTGTAGAATGTGGCAGAAACTTAAGATACTGCTTACAGTTCAGAGGGCATCATTATTGGATGTGATGGAAATACATACATCAAAGTAGTCTCACAGATAGCATCTCTGTGAGGGTATCAATTTGTTATAAAACTAAATTCACTATATAGCCTCACTTTTGAAAACTGAATAAAGTACAGCTCCCAGATGATGGTATCAGAAGACCAAGTGGTTCCTGAGAGTTTGTTTTGTTTTGTTTTGTTTTGTTTTGTTTTGTTTTGTTTCCCAGAAACCATATAGTAGATTTTGAAATACAGATCGTGAAGTTTAGGTTTTTTTTATTTAATAAAAGTGAATTATTCTTAATGCATTGTCACTAGTGTATATGGGATGACATGTTATTCTATCATGTTAAAATATTCCATCTAACTCAAGGATACAGGTCGCTGGCTTTAATTCTATGCTGCTGGGGAGTAATGGAATGACTTGTCAGTGCTCTTAACCACTGAGCCATCTCTTCAGCCCCTACACAGACTATATTTATTGAGGGTGAGAACTAGAGTCCAGGTTTTATGTAAAACTGAACTAAAATTCAGTCCTGTAATCTAGAGTCTAAGCAGTTTAACCTGCTCTGCAGAGCTCTAGTTACCTTGGTTATCTTTGGCTATCAGGACTATCCAGACTTAAAAAAAAAAACCCTTCATGCTTTTCTGTTTTCATTTAGAAATATGTTTAAAAACTAAAAGAGTTGCACAGAGACCATTACAGCTCCAAATTAGATGCAGAAGCAGAGGATAATTTGAAGTTGAGAGAAAGGAAGCCAGAAAGCTGGCTGAAGGCACAAGGTGAAGAAACTGCCGCCAATAACTAGGATGAAGAATAGAGAGGGCCAAGCTTAGACAACGCAGTGGCACTTTGCTGAAAAGGAAAGGGGCATAGAACCTTAAAATTAGGCCGTGCTCAATATTTGTATAACCCTAAACCTAACCCTAACTCCAACCCTGACCCCAACCATAACCCTAACACTAACACTAATCACTAAACACCAATGCTAACTTTAAACCTGACCCTAACCCCAACCCCTAACCCTACCCTCTAGCCCTAACTCTAACCCCAACCCTAACTCCCTAACCCTAACCCCTAACCCTGACCCTGACCCTGACCCCTAACCCTAACCCCTGACCCCTAACCCCTAACCCTTAACCCCTAACCCTAACTCCTAACCCTATCCCTTACCCTTACCCTGAATGTCCCACATCCTTAAAAATATCCAAACACTTTAAAGTCCATAGTCTCTTTTAAAAGTCTCTTAACTGTGGCTCTCTGAAATACAAAACTTGTACTGTCTTATTTCAAAGGGGAAGAATCAAGACACAACTAAGCAGAACCTATATCCAGCAAAGTTGCTTAAGATTGGACATCTCGGATTCACTCATCATATTCTGGCCTCCAGAGTTTCAGCAGCTCCACTTCTCTGGCTCCTCCATTCACATCACACACAGCTGGTCTCATTGGCCTATGCCAGCTCCATTCCATACCTGCTGTTCCCCTTGGTGGTCATTCCAGGGTCCTGGCATCTCCAAAAAGCTGGGGTTTCCAATGAAATTGAGGCTACACCTTCACCAATGGGCTCTTCTGGCCTCTCGGGGTGCAAAACCTCAGATTCCTAACCCCTTCAGTCCTGGGGGGCCTCACTGCAACTGAGGCTGCACTTTCACCAATGGCCTTTCCTGGCCTCTTAGGGTGCCAAGCCTTCCCTGCATTCTCTGATCCCTTCATGCTTTCAACACCAGAACCATGCAGGAGACTCTTAACACATTACCAAGTCCTGCTTCCAGGTTGAGATGAAGGCTCCAGCCCCCTCTGCACGATAGCTTCTGTTTGCTGACCCTGAGGAAATACGTCCCAGAAAATTTTGCCACAGTCATGCTGGTCTCTTGTTACTCATAGCTGTTTTTTCAGCCCCAGCTGACCAACATAAATTGTCCCAGTAAAGCAAAGGTTTTACTTCAGTGGTTCTGATCTCTTCTTAATCACAGCTGATTCTTCAGCCTCAGTCAATCAGAAACCAGATTCTCAATTCAAAATATCGTACAATAGCCCTGATAATCTGCACTTCCCTTTGAAGTTCCAAAATCTTCTACAATCCTCCCCAAAACACTAGATCATGTCTGTAACAGCAGTAGCCCACTCTCTGATACCAATTTCTGTTCTAGGTTGCTTTCAATTGCTGTGACAAAACACTCTGACTAATACCAACTTGGGGAGGAAAGGGTTTATTTGACTCACATCTCCCAGATCACAGTTCATCACTGAGGGAGCCCAAGGTAGAAACCTTGGGCAGGAACCTGGGGGCAGGAGCTGAAGCACAGGCCATGGAAGAACACTGCTTACTGGCTTGCTCCCCTAGCCCATGCTCAACCTATTTTGTTATATAATGCAGGAACACCTGCCTGCGGGTGGCACCACCCCCCTCCCACATCACTCAACAATCAAGAAAATGCCCCAGTAGACATGGCCACAGTCCAGACCAATGGAGGAAATTCCCCAAGTGACACTCTTTCTACACAGGCCTATCTACTTGACAAAGCTATCCAGCACAATTGATTCTGGAAACTTGACATACAAATACATCACTATTAAACCACAAAATCTCTATTTCTTATCCCCAAAGTACGATATTAACATCACTCTACACCTAATACAAACCCTAATCCTAACCCTTAACACCCACCCCTAGACCCTAACCCTAATTCTAACCCTAACCTTAAACCTATCCCCTAACCCCTAATCGCTAACCTTAACCCCAAAACAAACCCCTAACCCTAACCGTAACCCCTAATCCTAACAGTAAACTAACCCTAAACCCTAAATCCTAA